TATATATATATAGTGTTAATATGTTAAACCAAAGGACACCAGCCAGTTCAATAACAGGACCAGAAAATAATTTTGACTGAGCCGAGGGCGGCTGTTTTTCACACATAATTTTTCACATGGATTTCTCGAGGTAATGACTTAATCATGTCCATACTAAAGGCATCAGGGTTAATAAAAAAGTAGTTCCTTCCAACTGCATATTGTTTAGACAAGATTGCAATAATTACTTTCAAGTATTTTCTTGTTAATGCACTGAAGTATCAAAGTATCAATACTTTGATTTTAGTATTGATCCTGGTGATATTTCAATATCTGCTAAGTAGATCTGTGAGCTGCTGCTGAGCATGGTTTGAAAAAAAAAGATAATTTGTAGCTGGAGGTCAGCTCACTTTTTTTAATTTGGTACAAAATTCAAACACTTGCTCTAGATTTGATTAAATAAAACACACATTCAAAGCATTTTTAAAAACTATTTTATCTTGTTTTATTTTAAAGTTTTATTTAAATTTAGTTTGAATGTTGTTCAGGTTGGAGTATTTTTTTTTTCACTTCTGGAAGTAAAAGTATAGTTTGACATCAGCAACCTTGACATAAATTAACTAATTTAAACCGCTCAAAGTGGTTTACTTTTTAACCTAGTTCTTGTAGTTTTAGTTTTTTGTTTGTTTGTTTGTGTTTTTTAACCTCCACTGGAAATAGAGAATGTTGATATATCTGATCAATGCAAACTTCTGTGTTCCAGTCAGGTGTTCCCTGAAGGCTTACCAGAAGAATTCACCTTGATCTTCACCCTGGCTTTGAAAAAGGCTGCTCTTCGAGACACCATCTACCTCCTTCAGATATCAGATCAGCAGGGATATCCACAGGTGCAGCTTACTCACTGCTTCTTCGTTCACTGATTTATGTATTTTTGGTACAATGACAACTTCCCTCCTGCCATCATGCATCCCATCTCAATCCCAGCCCCATTTTCATCGATCTTTCAACTTTTAATCAGCCCTTCTATTTTTTTGCTCAGTCCGTCTCATCCCACTTTTGCATAGTCATCCACTTTCCCTTTCGATTTCTTTTCTTGTGTGACACCTTTTCAATTGTCTCCCCCTTTTTCATCCCGGTCGCCTTTTGTCTTCTCAGTGTTTATCATTGGACAACCCCTCTCTCTTTGTCTGTCCCCCCCTCAATCATCTCCTGCTCTCCTCTTTCATTCCCCTTCATTATTATTCATATGTGTTCCATGATGAAGCACTGGAGTTCCTCAGAGTCCCGATAATCGCTAGTAGTCTGAAGCCCGATTTAAATACTTAGTGTATTTGATGGATGGCGGTTAAGTCGCCTCATTAGGGGTGATTGATTGGCTGTATTGCTTGTGTGTATAATTAATATGTCTTCCTTTTAACTCATCTTTGCTACCGTGTTCTACAGCTTTGTTTGCTGCATGTTATATTACTCTATGTTGAATCCACTGCAAGTCAGACATCTGAAGATACTTTTGTGCAGTATTAAATTGCTACAAGCCCAGCTCTTTGTCTTCATAACATCTACTCTCTCTTTTGTCTCTAACCCTCCAAATCCCAGCTCTCAGTGGAGCTCAGTGGTCCTGAAGGTATCCTGTCCTTACGAGCCTCAGGGGTAGACCCTGCAGCCGACCCAGTGAGCTGTGCTTTCACTGGGGAGGGTGTGGAGGCTCTGATGGACTTCCGTTGGCACAAGGTGACCCTCAGTGTTCAACGCAGTGCCGCCTCCCTCCACGTGGACTGCAGGCCCATCGAGACTAAGCCTCTTGAGCTGCGAGGAGTTCCGAAAACTGATGGACACACACTGCTGGGTGTTCGTGCTTCAGATGCTGGACCAGTGCAAGTAATTGCTGCACCCTCATAGAACTTTTTAATTGTAAAAGAAATGATGTAAAAAAATCAGTGATGTGATTCATAGAGTTTGTGCTCATGTTGAACGTTGCCTCATAAAACTGCATTTAATTATTAACACTAATTATTAGCATTATTCAAAAAACAGCTATTTATTTATTTATTCATTTATTTTACCCAACTGATTATAGTGTAATTATTTTTTCTTACTAATTTCACTGAATCAAAAGTCACATCTATATGATGCTGACAGTTTAAACATTTTGAATCATTTGGTTTATAAGCAGGTATCATTACCATGCAGTATAATTACAAGACTGGTATTTAAAAAGTTGTGTAAAGAAAGAAAAAAGAAAACTAGAGGGTACACTTGTCTGTAAACATGGACCCCAAAATAGATGGAAAACAACTTTTAGCAAAATGTTGCAAAGTACATATTTTGTCAACCATATCTATGACCAATTTTCATGATTTTATTTCCTTTTTAATATGATCTGTCTGTGGTGTAGTAAAAAAGAAAAAAAAAAAAGAAAGATCACAAATACTCTGCTACACCACTTAAGTAATGGTACTTGTAGAATGTTTTTTTATGATTACATTTCAACACTGTGGCAAAAATCCTAAATAAAACTATCCTATAGATGCAGATTTTATGCATCAGTAGAATGACTGAGACCATAAAACTCACATTTAGGGCCCCCTTGGGCAGCCCGCAAGTAGCTAAAAGTTGAAAGCACTGCACTATTGTATACTTAAAATAATAAAGTGTTGAAACATCACAGCTGAGCTGTATACTTTGGTCTATCTGAAAAAGTGGACAGAATGCATAGTATGCGATAGCACAGTCATGCAATGTAAATTCAATCTAAAGCTTCTATTTGAGCATACGATAAACTTGGTTGCTTCCATTTTTGTAGAGCAAATCATTTCAGAAATGTTGAAAAATAACTTTGTTCACCCAATTGAACATAAAATCAGATGAAAGGGGTCTTTGTGTAAGTGTAAAAAAGAAAAGAAAGAGAAACATTATAGATGTTTTTGCATTGTACAGCAGTATGCCCATAGAGAATAAAGTGAATTATTTCTGATGTAGCCACTTTCCTACAAAAGCCAATGCACTGAGGATGTTTATTCAATCTATGTGTAAATTTAAATGTTCAGCTGTGTTTGTGTGTGTTCTACATTACTGATCAGGTCTATCTGAGGTTGTGTTTTTGAACCAGTGCTGATGATAAATGGCCTCAGAGTTACTTCATAAAACATTCCAAGACTGAGCTTGGGTTATGAACAATATTAATTGGTAAAATGGCTTACAGGTAGTTAAAATGTAAAAAAAAATAATCTTTGTTAGTGCTGAAAGGAAGTGTTCATAGGTCTACAAAGATGCACACAAACACACTCAGGTGATTCACCAAACAAACAGCTTTCCCAATGATTTATATAAATGAGAGATTAATTGGCTTTTAGCCATGTTTACTACCTCATTTAAACATATAAAATAAATAAAACAGACAACTCAAAGCTCTGCATGCAAAACACCTTCCACCCTAACAGCTCTCTTCCTTTCGCCTCCTGCTTTCTTTTCACAGATGGATATTCAGCAGGTGACGCTGTACTGTGACCCTTCGCTTGCCATTCAAGAGACTTGCTGTGAGATTCCTGGTGCTCAGGTAAGACTGGAAGCCTTTAAAACAAAAACAGTGAGGATATGCAGAGAAAATACTAGTTTCTCTCTGTCTTTAAATTCAATATTTTAAAAAATGGCTGTTGAATAGGATACTGTTTTAATTAAAATATAATTTTAGAGTTTTCCTTGTTAATCATCTTTAGAACAGTAATGATATTTATTTATTCAAATCTTAATAAATTACCATTCAAGTTTAATTATCTATTTAATCACCAAGGTTCTGTATTATTAGTTTGAAATCTGATATAAAAAAGAAAACATTTTAAAACCTTTGAGAATTTATCCCAAATGTAAGCATTAAAATGTTTTATTCCAGCTACTTATTTAGACTCTTTAAACCGTTCAAACGTTTGTTCAAAGTGTCATAATATAACGAAAATGAACAACATTGCAGAGTAATCAACATTTTCACCTAAAGCATGGTATTGATGTGTTTTATTTTCCTTTTAAAAAAAATATTTTTCCACATATTTGAAGTTTGTTGTTTATTGTGAAAAATCTAAAAAAGTAGCTGGATCATTTGGATCGATGTGATTGGCTCCTTCTGAGGAGGGACTATTATACCTATCACCTTTGCCAATAATAAATGTTTCATTACATTTGTATAAAAAACAAACAAAAAAACTAGAAAACTAAGAATAGCATTTTCTCTCTTCATTGCCGCTTGATTGGATCTGAACATACGCAGGGCAGTTGTCTGTTAATATAGTGAGAACTGATTCACTGATGGGACATCATGAATTGGCTGCCAGTCAGCTGATGTTTTAGGTTCCCTTCCAGCTGGACTATAACCATGCTTCATTTTCCATGACCTCCACAAGCTCTTCGAGCTAGATTTGAGCATATTTGTAAAACATTCCTGAAATTGTCTCCAATGGCCTCACCATTTCCATAACCTTGTCCTAAGATACTAATCTACCAGATAGACGAAGAGGTGTCAGTCATCCAACATTAAAAATGCATCTTCAAAGAATGTAGGGAAATGAATAAGCCTTTCTTTTACAGTCCTCCAATTACCATTCAATTATCTAGCATTTACATGTAAGTAAAATAATTTAATATACAATTACTTAGTAATTACAGTAATTTAGTACCATATTTGTCTGGCTGTAGACAGTAGTCACGCATTTCGGTATGAAAGATCATCGGGTCTATCACTTTGTGTTAGGTTGACTCTTAAACAAAATCCTGATACAAAACCACTTCCCCCAGAATCCCCCAAAGCAGTGAAATCACCACCTGCCACCAGTTATTTAGAAGCAGCTCCAGCAATAACATTAGCTTGCTAATGCACATAGCGGTGCTGCGAGGAAAAGTGTCCCCCATGAAACAGTTCACTGGCGAGCGAGACCTAACGTTCTGAACGTCCTCAGGCTATTTAAACCAGAATGCCAGAATTCAGAAAATGCATATCATAACAAAATAAAACAAAATCCGTTTTCAGTACAAACCGCTATAATGCCCAGTGCTAATGATCAGTTGTTAGGCTGATGGTCCTCTTTTGCCTGTGCACAACCATTTTTAGTTGCCACCAAAACCCTTGTTAATCCACTATGCATAAGTATTTTTTTAAGGTTGAGTTTACCTACAACTCTTCAGACTGAAGAATATTGGAGAAGAGAGGAAACGTTTCAACAAAAAAGAACCCATCCATAGGACATGACTCAACTTTTTAAGAACATTGGGCCTCATGCAAGAACATGTTCGTATTCTTATCCTAAATTTCTCTTACTTTTGTTCGTACAAAGGGTTCGTACGAACATGTCACGTCAGATTCAACAAACTCTTCTATCTTCAGGAAAAGTGTGTAAATGAGCTGCGTAAATAACACCTGTTCTATCCAGCTGCTCGTGCACGCGAGAGGAGATTAGCATAATCACCACCCCAAAAACACCATATAAGGCTGTATCCTGCCTCAGATACAAGGAAGTGTTCATTCATGAAAATGACAGTGAAAACTATAAAAGAAAAACTTTATGAGTTCAGAGATTGAAGTCTGTCTGTCAGAGATCCAGAAAAGAAAATCTGTCATTTTTAGCAGGTCAGCTGTGGAATAAAATGAGCTGCTAAAAGTATAAACAACTGTGTTAAATCAAGGACTCGCTGGAGGTGTTATGTATCCCCTCTGGCCTGGGAACGTCTCGGAGTCCCCCTGGACGAGCTGGAAGGTGTCGCTGGGGAGAGCGGGGTCTTTCTGCAGCTGCCCCCCGCACCGATAGCGGATAAGCCGGCCGGACGGACAATTTATATTGTTAGTCTAAATTATTACATTTAAAATTATAACTCTAATTCAAGCAGAATAGCCTATTGTCAACATAATTATGGAGTGTGATTTATTTTCAACTCAAAATATCTTCAAACTAACGAAATATAAAGTTATTAATGAAGAAAATCTGTCTGGATAACAGCAGACTGACTGCTCGTAAAATATACGACAGGTCTGGACCACTCGTAAATTTTGGTCGTATCGAAGAAAATCTTAGAATACGAAAACATTGGTGAATGCCACAAATTCTCCTAAATCACTCGTACGCACAACTTAAGAACAAATCTGTGCGTACGAATGGTTTTTGTATGAGGCCCATTGTCTTGTTAACATTGATTTATTTTTCATGTTTTTCCATTAAATATGTTAACAACTGTCAAACAACAATAAGTATATTCATAAATTTAACATGGAAAGGAACCTATTAATGTAGAAATCCTTCAGTTACCTAAGTCAGTTTTTTTATTGTCCTCCTTTTTTCCAAAGTTTTTAACATAAATATAGTACAGGTCATTCAGAACTTAGACATATCCCAATTTGTGTATGTTTCAACAGCCGTGAAATGAACATTCTTTAAATATTAATCTAATTAAAGGGGTTTTGCGTTAAAGAATTTCATTTTCTACACAGTATCTTTTTTCTATGATTTGCTCATCCAACTCGTCCCTTTCTTCGTGTATTTTTATTCATTGCGTGCAAACCTCAGATCAAAGCCTTAACAAATCTAAAACAGATGCATTGGATTAATAACAGTGCAGCAGTCAGTTCAGGTATGAGAAGAATTGCGAAAAGCCACTTCTCTGGTTTATTTTTAAGATAAAAGACATTTTTGCTTCCAGTCAACTTATTCGCATATTTCTTCAGGGTGTCTGTGTTTATGTGTCTGTATGTGCTCTTTTTTTTCCATTACTGAATGAATTTGAAGGAGATACACGAACAGGGTGAGAAGCGCCTTCAGATTTCTGAAAATGAAGTCCTGTGCAAGAGGGACTTGTGCTGTAAAAAAAAATTGATTAGAGGGGCCTGGAGGAGGAAATCTCTTTTCTCTATTGGCTTGTGGCATGTGTGCTGCAGGGCTCCCTCCAAGCAGCATTTTAAATTTTAGTTAGGAGGTGGGATGAGGAAGTGTGCAAAATCCTAAACACACAGATGTGGTGGCAGAAACACTTCAAAATGCAAATGAAGGGGTTGTTATAAGTTCATTGTTTTGCTGACAGTGATAGAGCATGATGATTTGAATTTTGGAACTGGGTTTCATGAATACATTCGGTGTCTCAAGACAACATGTGGTCAGAATTGTGCCAAACTTGGCCTTTTTTCAGTCTATTTTTAGTTATTGTATTCATTGGCTAAAAAAAGTAAAACAAACTATTGGCACTTTGCAAGAGATGTGTTTTGCAGTGTCAAGATAAAACTTTTAAATCTAAGGACACTTTACTAACTGTCAAGGATTATGATATATGCTGTGCTTCAGGCGCTTTGCACAAAATGGATGGAATACTACAAAAATATTTATTTATTTATTTATTTGGAGGGGTGGGGGGCCCATTAGACTTGATATGAAGCAGTGTATACGCAGTCATGTGGTTTTTCTATGTTAGTTTTCACACACAGCTTTCATAGTTCCTAAAGCTTCATTCACACTGCAGGCTAATCCGACCCAAATCAGATTTTTTTGACCCATCTGACTCATCTCCGATTTTTTTATGACAGTCTGAACGAGACAAATCCGATTTTTTTATGACAGTCTGAACGAGACAAATCCGATTTTTTCAAATCCGACCCAGGCCGTTTCAGTATGTGGTTTTAAATCGGATAAATATCTGATGTTTTCAAAGTGACTGCAGTGTGAACGCTCATGTCACATTCCTCCGGCCTTTTCATCAGGAGGAGGTGAAGGATCGATAAGACACTAACCTCAAGTCACGCTGTTTAAATCTGTAGCTCCGTGTGTTTACAGCTCCAAAACACAAGTCCAGTTGCTTCATCTTTTTACTTTTCATTTTCCACGTAGATAGTATGATAATAACGATGTCCAGCCTGGGTCGCGGAGAGTATCGATCCTAAAGTTAGATACTCGGTCGATACTTTTTTCCAGCTCGTAGTTTCATTCAAAAAAAAAAAGCTTCACTGGAGCATCCCGGTCAGAGGCAGGTTCAGATATAAACACTGAACTAAAGAAGCAGATCAGATAATTATTTAATCGGCTCTGATTAAACAACAACTTCTGATTCGATGTGCAAAATGTAGCATCCATGCTAGCTCTGTAAACAAACAAGCCGGCTGATGAGACGTCACGTCTTTTACTGCGCATGCGTGTCACATCAGTGTTGTGTGGCGTTCACACAGGGGTCTGATGCAGGTCACATTTAAAATGTAATGTGAACGTTCACACAAAAAGATCAGATTTTTTCAAAAAATCGGAACTGAGCATTAAGACCTGCAGTGTGAACGTAGCCTAAGTCACACCATGCCAAGCTTCTGGGAAAGCCCTCCCACTGCAGTATACATCACAGATTTTTTCCCCCTGCTGGAGTCTGTACACCATAAAAATACTCAGATATTTGGCATTATTTATCACCAACTGTTTCCTGGTTAAAGCATCACTGTTGTTGGGATAACATCAGTTTTATTTCCATTTATAAGCTTTTGGTCATTTGATTATGTTCATAAATGTCCGTTTCTGGGTACATCAGTGAAATTCTGAATTGAGTAATTGAAGCAAATTGCAGTGTCGAAGCGCTGTCAGCATAAACCTACATGCTCACAAACTTCAGATAATGATTTTTTATGTGAAGGATAGTGGAAGATTTTGCTGCTGGGTTGTGACAAGAAGGGGCAAAAGACTCAAAGCTGTGATCAAAATGACACAATTTTCGTTATCCAGCTGTGACAATGAGAGACGATTTTGGCAGTTCAGATGAAGTATGTGGAGGTCTTTATGAAAAGGTTAAGGCTTGGACATAAATACATAGGTGTCCCAACAGGACAGTTCGAACAAAACACTGAAACCGGTTTCTGAATGTATAAAATAGGTTGTGATTAAGCTTAAAAGTCGTCAAAAGAACAGATGAAATCAGGAAAGAAATGTGTTGAAGGCTACAAAATGTATGCAGTTAAGCTGAAACATGCCAAGAGACAAATATTACAGAGGATACTGTATATGTATATTATTGAGCTTTTGCCTATAATGTTTACCTTGTATGAATGTTTTTTTTCAAAAACTGTTGTAGGTTGTATAAGTATTCAGATTATATATATATAAAAAACAAAATAAAGTAAAAAATAAAAAAAAAACACAAATGCAATGGTACGTCTTTGGAAATATTTGACCAAAAATATGTAACAACATGTTAATTTGATTTTAAAAAGAAATATCAGGATTTCATACATTTATAAAAGTTGTCTTGTTTTTTTATGTTATGTATATCTGAGAGTTGCCTAATCTTTCATTTGTTTTGCTCTAACCCAGTAGGGTACACAGTGAAGCTTGGTTTTCCCAATAATATATACGTATTTTTTTTTCAAAAATTAAAATGAATTTATTTTTCCTTTTGCACTTTTGTCTTTGTGCAATTTTTAACCACTGCTAGTATGATCATATACCTCCTGCTGGAAATCATCTATATTTTCAGTCTCTTTGAGGGGCAGCGATGAGGGAAGGAAATGCACCTGCTCACGTTATTTTCTGCAAATGCAAGATTCATTTTGTGCCAATACACATTTCATGTAGCGATGATGAGAAATCACTTTTTTTTTTCTGTGAAACACAAAGCACCCCTGTTGTGACTCTGAAAATCTTAGCATGTCAGTGTGTTCAAGCACAGCCTCACAGAATGACTGGCACATTGCAGTTTGTCAACCAGTAGTCTGTTATTTCTGCCTTATCATTCTGTGTCCTGATTGCTTGCAGTGCCCTCCTGAAGCGTCAAAGAGCCGCCGAGCTGCTGAAAATGACCTGGTTGACAATACTTTCACCCAGGTAAATCACACACCTCTGACACACCAGATAAGCTTTTGCGCTGTGAAATGTGCAAAACTTGAAGGTGTAACAATGATATGTGTACAAAGTAACCCACAGACCAGGAAGGGTATCCAAATTGTTATTGCTTAAGAAAATATCACGTGCATACAAACAAATATACATACATACATACATACATACATACATACATACATACATACATACATACATACATACATACATACATACATACATACATACATACATTGACAATACTTTTGACAGTCCCTTTTCATACCAGCCTTGTGAAAATATGGCACATCAGCTCATGTGATTAATACACATCTGTCTTTTTTTAATAGCATCACCATTTTTTAATACCAAGGTACACCAAAAATACCATCATACTACCCAAGCTTAACCCAAAACATTATGCACAAAAAAAAAAAAACATACACAAAAATCAATCAAACAAACAAAAAAAGAAAAAAGAAAGAAAAACACTCAAACTGTTAAGAGGACTGAGTGCCAGTGTTAAGAAATTACACTTAATATCAGGGATGTTAAACTCACATACAGTACAAATAACTTGCCACAGTACGTTTCAAATTATAACTTAAATGATGCGGCTGTCGGTCAGTTTACGTTCCTACCCTCATCCATGGTCACGAGCTTTGGGTAGTGACCGAAAAAACAAAAAATGCGGATACACTCGAAAAAAGAAATGTTGGATTTACTTAACCTTGTTATGTTACCTGGTTGCACTTAACTGAGTTGAGTAAATTCAAAGCAACATACTCAAGTTCTTTGGTTTAAAAAAAACTGGTATATTGCTTTGAATTTACTCAGCTCAGTTAAGTGGAACCAGGTAACGTAACATGGTTAAGTAAATCCAACATTTCATTTTTTACAGTGTACAAGCGGCAGAAATGAGTTTCCTCTGCAGGGTGTCTGGGCTCTCCCTTAGAGATAGGGTGAGAAGCTCAGTCAGCCAGGAGCGACTCAGAATAGAGCAGCTGCTCCTCCACGTCGAGAGGAGCCAGTTGAGGTGGCTCGGGCATCTGGTTAGGAATTCCGGCCACTGAAATAACTTAATTTCTGGACATTTATGGTTTGATTTCTTTGTATGTATGGATCACTTGGGTTGTTACCGACATCTGGTGAAAGTTTCATGACATTAGCTCCTCTAGTAATATATTTACTGAGAAAAATGTTGACGTGTTCAATACTTATTTTACCCGCTGTATCTTCCCACACAATTTCAAGCTTCTGTGTGTTGTTCTGAAATAACCATGTCTTGTTTAGTAGAGTGTCTCGATAATATCTGTCTTTGCTTGTTTTCTGTTGGAAAAGTTAGCAAAATGCAGGTAAACAAAATGTGATCGCCTGTGACTGATGTAATTGTCATCAGTTCACTGTATTCATCAAAAATGTCTGTACTGAATCATCACAGTACAAATGCATGTATCATTATACCAGTAGTACGCACACTGAGGCCAAACAAAAAAGAAAAACTTAAAATCAACATTACATTCTTGACATCAGTTTTATGAGTAGGAAGCCAGTGATGTGAGGCAAACATTGGTATTTTATGTGCACATTTTCTTGTTTCTATTGAAAGATGAGCCATTCGACCAAGAGATGATCTTTGCCCACATACAGGGAACAACAATAACCTAAACCTGAAAAAAAGTGGCATTTAGCTTGTTATCAGAGCTCTGTTTAAAAACAGCAGCACCAATCTTTGAAGGGGGCTGCAATAATGCATAAAACATGGACAGCACATCTGTGAAGACTCAGAGAGTCAAAGAAATGCTGTGTGACAAGCACTAAGATGGCCTGTCTGCAGTAATGACCCATCACCCACTGAAAACATTGCCTCTGTTCTAAAAAAGAAAACAAGGTGCCAGAATGGTAAATGGGTGTTAGATTTCGCAAAGCAACAATGGGAGACATTTTGCTTTCAAAGCTTTCACAGTTGGACGCCCGGTTTACTGAACGCTTACAGTGTCATTCAATAGAGGTGACGCAACACGGTGGCAAACACAATTTTATTTTTCCCTTTTTTTACAGGGTTTCAAACTCATGTGGAATTGTGCAAAAAAACATATCAAACTATACAATTAAAACTGTTAGGCTGTGGGTTTAAAATGACTGAGAAGATTAAAGTTGTCTAATAAAATAAACAAAACATCTGAATAAAAAAAAAACAATGAAAAAGTTATTTCTTTCCCAAGGACAAGCAGAAACAAAGACTGAGCTGTTTCAGATTGTCCTTCTGGGACACTGACTCTGGCTAGTTTGTCAGACACTACAGCTCTTCTACAACAAACAAGTAAATAAAAAAAATCAAGTTTATATTCTACTTTTAGTCCTTATTTCTTTGGAGTATTATGGGTTGTTTGTTCTGATGATTGCTTCAACAAAGATGCATAAAGTCATTCTGTGTAACATTTTTTTTTTTGTTTGCACTCCGTCTTGTTTCATCATTCACATAAGGGGATCTAAATTCAGTTATTTATTCATTGGAGTTTGTGTTTGTACTCTTTGGTGTTAACTCAGAGCTCTAAGCTCCAGCAGACTCCAGGACATAATAATCAATCCCATTGATGCTTCCGGCTAGATACGCACACCTCATGTTTCTTTCTTTCTGTTTCAGCTCTCACTGCCTCCTGAATTCTCTGGTATCTCCTATTACACATTCAATTTTTTTTTTTGTTTTCAATGTCTGAATGTGTACATAGGTGATGCAATTAATATACCCTAAAGTGGCAAGTTTAGGGAAGAAAATGTATTGTTTCAGAAAGAAAAAACAAATCAGGTTTTCTTAAAGAAAAAATTCAGCTATTATGAAGGAACGTTCTTTAGAAACAATGTCCTACCTCTTGTAGATAGTTATTTGATCTTCCTCTATTTGGAGAAGACGCCACGTCTGATAAGTCTGAATACAGACAAGGATGAAGAGGATTGCAGCCGTCTTAAAACAAGTTCTTTCCCAAACATTTCATGAAGCTTCATGCAAATGTTAAACCTTCACACTTCTATCAGTTTTGAAATGCAAGCTTAAATAGATAGATTTTTATGGTAATTTGCTCGCCCAGATAGAAGCAGCAGCAATGTGCCAGGGGCAGCTTGGGAGTACTGTCCTTTTGGCAGGAATATCATCATATTTCTGCTAAAAAAGCAGAAAATATAAAATCGGTGTCAATGTAAAGGTCTAAAATTATGTTTGCTTGCAAAAACTCCTGCAAATTTGTTTTTGGGAGTACCCACTCTTGGTCATTTTGACAGGCTAGGGAACTAAAACATGTGTTGTTTTCTTTTGTGTTTTTAGACAAAAACAAAATGCACACCCAAAGCTCTTAAGCGGAAATCCATGGGGTGCAGGACAGCCCCAGTTTTGGAAACGCAAACATTGCCCCCCAATGATTAAGTTGAGGAAACTATACTTTCAGTATATCAGTAAGCATAAAAACATACAGCACTGAGGTAATACAAAAAAAACATTTATTTTATTCCCAAACCAAAATAAATGTATGTATATATTTAGAGAAATAATTTTTTGGTGTGATTACTAAACATACTCTGCAGAGTAATCACATTAAAACTCTTTAATAGGACCACAGCATGCTTTTTTTTATTATTGTTTTAATTTTTTGCATGTTTATATGGACATATGAACATCTAAAGTCAGTCAATGCCCCGTTCTCCCTGCAGACTTGATTACTTTCTTTGTGGACTTTATCTTTGTGTTTGGATGCATGTCAGATGTTCAGCAATCTGTTCTTATAGTATATAGCTTTACAGCTTTGTAGAGTGGAGAATAAGTTTATACTGTCAGTCACATGATGTCTCAACCCATTCTCACTCCCGAGTCGTCACATATTGACGTTTTTCAAAGGTCCCTTTGCGTCCAATTTTGACGCATCAGGTACCCCCCTTGCGTCATATTTTGACGGGATGGGGCGGAATCTGTTGTCGTAATTTTTCAAAGTGTAGAAAATGCACAAATACTACCGTCCCAAATCGTGAAATTACGTGTATTCACTTTAGACATCCTGTCCCAGACCCTAGTACCTAAAATTAACCATTAACCCTGATACGTAAAATTAACCATTTTTAGAAAATGTAGGAAATTCATGGCAACTACGTGTTGCAAAGCCTAAAATTACCTAATGTTCACTGTAGACATCCTATCCCTGACCCCAGTCCCTAAACTTAACCATTTATCCTGATCCCTAATGTTAACCTCAGACCCCCGACCCAAAGACCCCTGGTGGCGCAACCCGGAAAAGCCGCGGGCGGCAAGGACTGACGCGAGGGGGGTACCTGATGCGTCAAAATTGGACGCAAAGGGACCTTTGAAAAACGTCAATATGTGACGACTCGGGAGTGAGAATGTGTTGGATGTCTACAGAGAGACTGCAACTTGTCAATCTTGTGAACACAGTAATGAATGTATTATTAATTTTAATCATTTTACAACATTTGACTGTATGTTATATTTCCACCCCCCAAAAAAGTACCATTAAAACAAACTTCCTGTTTACTGTCCCACCCAATAATGAGCTAGAATTTCTTTCCTAGGTTTTGAAAGTATTGAGTGACAAATATTAATGTCACAATATTCCTATACATTCCAGATTGTTATTATGAGTTATCAAAGAAATGCAACAAATTGCAAAGTCCCTTGTTTTGCCATGAAACAAAGAAAAATCTTGAAATATTACTCCGCTGTATTTTAGTTTTTCCACTAAAGGAACTGCTGCATCTTTTCAGTGAGCTTCTCGTTAACATGAGCTGGAGATCATTTTGTCATGCTGATTAAATCCTAAGAGCAGACTGGATGCCTTGGAAGGGGAAAGGAGCTGCAGGATTGGGCACTACCAGTGCAGAGCTAGAGACGGCAGCAGGCAGGTGTGAGTGCTTCTGCTCGCACAGTGAGGCACAGACTTGTGGAGGGCAGCCTGGTGTCAAGGGGGGGAAGCAAAGATGCCGATTCTCCTCAATAAATGAAC